AAAACAAGTTGTCCAGTTTTAACAAGTTCTTTTGCGGTTAACGGCTTTCTTAAGATTAGCTGTTGCACCTGTGTTTCTCGGAGCTCCCTCGGCAGTAACTTCCGTTTCAGTCTCGGCCTGTCGCATTCTGAATCTAGCTCTCACCATCAGTGTTCATGCTGAGAGATACTGATCACTGTCACTGTTCAAACCACACACAAAAATCTCACAACAAAGGGTTAGATAAACATTAACAACTAGACAGCTGCAGTGGCACAGCCTGGTGTAATGTGAGATTATCTGGGAATGAAAAAATTTGGCCCCAAAGGGGGAACTCAGGGACTAGCAAGCACTCTGCTAACGGGAGATCGGGGGGTCAGAAACTGTGTTCCCTGCAGACTATGCAGCTGCACTGCAAGCTATCGAGGGCCGTGGAGGCAGGCAGGGTGAGGAGCCCCTCCCCAGGTTTGGCCCAGGTCCACCAGAGCTGCTGGGGAGAGGAACCCCTCCCTCAGCCCAGCTCAGGACCACAGGAGCTGCCACGGCTGGGGAGAGGTGCCTCTCACCCATCCCCGAGCTGCTGCGGTGAGAGAGGGCTGGGGAGAGTCCTCTCCCCACTGCAGTCTGCACCCCAAACCCCTCATCCCCAGCCCCACTCCACAGCCCACATGCCTAGCCAGAGCCTTCACCCCCTGCACCCAACCCATTGCCCAGCCCTGAGCCCCCCACCCACCCCAATCCCCTCATCCCCAGCCTCACCCCAGAGCCAGTACCTGCATCCAGACCCCTCATCCCCCCCCACATCCCATCCCTCTGTCCCAGCCCTGAGCCCCTTTCCAAACTCCGAACCCTGCGGCTCCACCCCCACCACATGTATTTTATTCTGTGCACCAATGTGGAGATGATGCGTCACATATTGAATCATAGAACCAAATTCATTCCGAACATGGATGTAAAAAATGAGGGAACACTGGTCAGAACGCATAAGATGCTCAGAGTGAGTTTACACTAGGAAATCTGATGGAGAGTCACAGAGATCTGCTGGCTAATCCCAACCACACCTCCTAGCCTAGCCAGAACTTCAGAGGCTGATGCTGCGGAGGCAGAGGTGGGATCTCCAGGCCTCCCACAACAGGCCCTGTGGGAATCAGCCCCTCTCAGTGGCGCTGTCTGAATGCAGAGGGGACAGGGGCAGAGAGGCTGAGTGAGGAGAGGCAGCACCTCTCTACCCCTGTGCTCTCCCTCACTTCTTATCCCATGATCCCCAAACACTCGATACCCCAGTACCCAGCTCCTCCTGATTTCAAGCTCCACCAGCCTAACCATCCAATCCCCAGTGACCTCCCCAGAACCCAAAGCCCTGGTCCCTTAACATTTGATTCCCTCAGAAGCCAGCGCCCTGGGGAATGTGGGGAGGGGAGGAGTTACCAGCCCCCAGGGACACTTGCCCAAAAGGGAACAGCTCAAATCAGTGGGGGAGCCCAGCCCAGGGGCTGGTGGAAGATGAGGGATGGGGACAGGTGTCTAGAGTGAAGGTGGGACCTGGCCCAAGTGTCCTTCTCCTCATCTCCATGGCAGGGGGATCCCGGCTGGGAGGGGAAGGGAGAGGGGAGAACTTCAGCCAGGCAGAGGGAGCGGCTGGAGCAGTTTCTCTATCTCCCTTCCCCCACCTGTGGCCCATCAGCTCAGCAGCTAGGGCTGCAGCAGGGGGAAGGGGCTGATCGGGGCTTCTCCTCCTCTGACTGGGGTTTGCTTAGACCAGGCAGAGCCAGTGGGTTACTGACCAGCTGATTCTCGGCTGATGCTGGATCCTCACCCCAGCGATGGGCAGCTAGATCCTTGGGAGCCAAAAGCTCCTGACGTGTGTGGGAATGAGGAAATGGGGTTGTTCCTATGGCCTAGTCAGGGCCCTGAGAGAATTTCCCTGCTGTGTGGGGGAGTCTCTGATGTCCAACATTGTGTTAGCTCCACTTGGAGCATTTTCCGCACTGAGAACATCTCAGCGGTTTCTTCCCTGTGCAGATTTCTGGATGCTTGATACTCCGGGAGCACCTAATGAAGCGTCCCCCGCATTCGAGGCCTCTCTTCTGTGTGGGTCACTAATGTGTGAAGTCAAATTGAATTTTTTTCTGCAGTCAGGCTATTCCTAGGCTCTCTCATACCTCTGTGGATTACCTTGGTTACTGAAGCTTTTCCAACATGCCAAGCATTTATAAAGTCTCTCTCATGTGTGGCTTGCCTGATGTGTAACAAGGCCTGATCTGAGCTTAACCCTTTCTTGTCATGTGTCACAGAAGTTTAGATCCTGTGTGGATTTTCCCATGTTTAACAAGATCTGATCTCCATATGAAACTTTTCCCACAGTCCAGGCACTTGTGAGGTCTCTCTCCTGTGTGGATTCCTTGATGTCTAAGAAGGTGTGACTTCTGCTTGAAACTTTTCCCACAATCCAAGCAGTTATGGGGTCTCTCTCCTGTGTGGATTACCCGATGTTTAACGAGGTCTGACCTGTGCTTGAAACTTTTTCCACAGTCCAAGCACTTACAGAGGCTCTCTCCAGTATGGATTGCCTGATGATTAACAAGGTCTGATCTCTGTCTGAATCTTTTCCCACAATCCAAGCAGTTATGGGGTCTCTCTCCTTTGTGGATTGCCTGATGTTTAACAAGGTTTGACCTCCATATGAAACTTTCCCCACATTCCAAGCACTTGTGGGGTCTCTCTCCTGTGTGCATTACCTGATGTGTAGCAAGAGATGATCTCCATGTGAAACTTTTCCCACAGTCCAAGCACTTATGGGGTCTCTGTCCTGTGTGAATTGCCAGATGTTTAATAAGCGCTGATCTCGTTATAAATTTTTTTCCACAGTCAAAGCAGTTATGGGGTCTCTCTCCTGTATGGATTGCCTGATGTTTAACAAGTATTGACTTCCCTATGAAACTTTTCCCACAGTCCAAGCACTTATGGGGTCTCTCTCCGGTGTGGATTACCTGATGTTGAACAAGGTGTGACCTTTTTATGAAACTTTTCCCACAGTCCAAGCATTTGTTCGGTCTCTCTCCTGTGTGGATTGCCTGATGATTAACAAGGTCTGATCTCCGCTTGAAACTTTTCCCACAGTCCAAGCACTTATGAGGGCTTTCTCCTGTATGGATTGCTTGATGTCTAAGAAGGTGAGACCTCTGCTTGAAACTTGTCCCACAGTCCAAGCACTTGTGAGGTCTCTCTCCTGTGTGGATTGCTTGATGTCTAAGAACATGTGACCTCTGCTTGAAACTTTTCCCACAGTCCAAGCACTTATGGGGTCTCTCTCCTGTGTGGATTACCCGATGTTTAACAAGGTCTGACCTCCGCTTGAAACTTTTCCCACAGTCCAAGCACTTATGGGGTCTCCCTCCTGTGTGGATTGCCTGATGATTAGCAAGATCTGACTTGCGTGTGAAACTTTTTCCACAGTCCAAGCGCTTATGGGGTCTCTCTCCTGTGTGGCTTTCTTGATGTGAAATTAGTGCTGACTTAGAACTGGAACATTTCCCGCACTCGAGGCGAGTGGGCTTCTCTCCAGTGTGGCTTCTCCCATGGTTATTAAGATCTGAGCGGTTACTGAAGCTTTCCCCACGGTCCAAGCATTGAAGGAGTTTCTCTCCAGTGTGGATTGTCTGATGTGTCACAAGCTGTGATCTCACAATGAATCCTTTCCCACACTGTAGGCAGTGCCACGGTGTCTCTTCCTTGGGATTTGTCTGCTGCGCTATGGGATCCTTGTCTCCTCCCCCACAGTTAATAGATTCATCCTCTTTCTTCCCTGGGTGGCTTTCCAGCAGCTTCTCTGACCTGTGCCAACTTCCCCAGGCTTCTCCCTGTTCCACGCACTTGGAAAAATTCACTTCAGCTCTTCCCACAAATGTCCCCTGCAGTTCCACTTCCCCAGGAACTTCCTCATGATGATTCCCCTCCTCGTTCTCACTCCCTCGCTCAGCACCTGCTGGGAGAGACACAATCCAGACAGGAGTCATTGTGCTGGGGAGAAAGAGGAATAGCACAGAGGGAAAACCCAACACAAAGACTGAGGAATTGGATTCTGCCTCCACATCCCACCCAAACACTCACAGGGAAGGAAACTCCTGCAGCTAACAGAATGGGTGGAAATTCGTGAGCGATATCTGCTGACTACAGTCCTGCCCTGGGTGAGATGAGGAAGAACGGAGGACACTCACTCACACCATATTTTGGGATTCTCAACTTTTCCTTTCATTCCCCAGACGGTTTGTGTCAGTCCTCACCTGTGTGGGTGCCTCTTGGGATCTCTCTTTCCTCGCAGGCCTGGAGATCAGGCACCCATGGCTCTTCCCCTCGTTCCAGCTGGGCGATCAGCTCAGGTTTGGGAATGGGAAATCCTGTGCAGAAGGTGAAATCAGACCAGATCAGGGTGCATGGAACATTGGTGGAATATTTGTCAGAAAGGACATTCCGTGAGTGGAACCTGTCCCTGCGCTCTGCTGGAGGAACATGGAATCCAGGAGGACGGGAACATGGTCACTGAGCCCCTTTGCACAGGGGAAGTTGTCTGGGGAGGTGAGTTGAATTATTACTACACCCTAACTAGGCGTTCCCAGGATCTGTGCACTCTGGGGGCCTTGCTGATTCACACACAGCTCTGGACTTAAGCCCCTGCCTCTTTTTAAACCTGCAGAGCCCAGAGCCCTCCCCATGGCTGGAGCTATTCCCAAGGAAGGAGGTGAACAGGGATTGTATGTGCAGCCCAGAAACAACACAGACAGGACAATGCTGGATTTATGCTCCTTTGAAAGCTGGATGGGTGAGGATGGTTAACTTGTCCATTGGGTTTTGACACCCATGTGCCACTGGAGAGGGCACGGAGATGCAAATCTCTCTCACATGGCAGGTGTGCATTATGGAACCCATTCGCCTCTGATCTAACTGATCAGGGAAGAAACTGACCAGATTCAGACACGCAGACCCCACAGCTTCTAATAACCGAGGGGACGGGAATTCCTTACCCAGCGAGGTCACCGTCTCATAGTTCTCCTGCATGACGTCCCTGTAGAGGGCTCTCTGAGCAGGGTCGAGCAGAGCCCCCTGCCCCTGGGTGAAATACACAGCCACCTCCTCGAAGGTCACCAGCCCCTGAAACAAGAAGAGTCCCCCACTCAGCACCTGCTGCCCCAGCCACAATCCCACTACCCATGGGAAAGGAAAAAAAACGTGAAGCTCTGGGAGGTCCAGAGTAGCAGAATCCCACCCCCACCCTGCTCAAAGCACCTAGGAGGCTTCAGGGGGTGGGGAGAAGGTGAGAGCTCCTTGTTCCGTTCCGCCCCCAGCAAACGGAGCAGGGCAGAGTCTTCTCATTTCTCACACACCTGCCAGCCACAGGCTGATATGGGAAGCAGAGCTCTGAGCCGGGGACAGGGACAGGAATCCCAACAGCTTCCCTCCGTATTTCACAGCAGCCTCTGGCTAATGCAGTGGCCCTCAAACTGGTGACCCTTTCACATAGCAAGCCTCTGAATGCGACCTCTCTTATAAATTAAAAACACTTTTTTGTATATTTAACACCATTATAAATGATGCAGGCAAAGTGGGATTTGGGGTGGAGATTGACAGCTTGCGACCCCCCATGGAATCACCTCGTGACCCCCTAAGGGGTCCCGACCCCCAGTTTGAGAACACCCGGGCTAGTGGGGTTAGACTCCAGCACTGGGAGCCTGGAAAATGTTCCCAGCCCTGCCGAGAGGGTTATATACTGTTTGAGAAATGGGGGAATGTCCCCTCCCCCATCCCCCACCACCAATGGGCGTACTCAGAAAATCAGTAGGTTTATCACACCCTGTCTCCTCCCTGCCCCCACCCAGCAGCTCCCAGAAAATCCCCTACCTGAGCTGGCTCCATCACAGCCATTTCCCTTCCCTGTCTCCTGGAAGACGGGCCCATCTGGAGCGAAATGTGGACGTGATCCCTCAGCCTGTCGGGGCAAGAGGGAGGTTACAGAAGGGGCTTCAGTCCATGTCACATCCCGATTCCCCCCAGGCTCTTCAGACCCTCCCAGTAACAGCATCTCTGAGCCAAATACTAGAAAAAGAGCATAATCAAAGCGGCCACTTTGGGGGATTGTCCCCCATTGCAGTGCAAACCCCCTTTCCCTTAGCAACAGCTGGAGCCCTCTGGTGGCATCACCTGAAGAATGAGCTGCCCTGGACTCCCCTGACAGCTCCCAGGGACAGGCAGGCAGAGGCTGATCCCATTGGCCCATCCGCATTCCCCCCCTGCCAGAGCCAGCAGTGACTCCGGCCTGACACCGGTATGGTTGAGATCTGAAACCTGCAGGGAAATCAGACCAGGGTCCCGGGCAGCCCCCAAAACTCAGGACACACAGACCCCACCAGCTCGTGTGTGTCTGACAATGATACACATGGAGCAGGGTATATGTGGGCGGGGGGGGGGGGGGGGGGGAGGGGAGAAGGGCTGGGATTTTGCCTTGTAGCTTCTGCG